CCCTATGTTTATTTCGTTTAAACGAAATAATTAATTCGTTTAAACGAAATAACTAATTCGTTTAAACGAAATAATTATTTCGTTTAAACGAAATAAAAAGATGGGTTAATTATTTCGTTTAAACGAAATAGACGAAAAAATTAATTCGTTTAAACGAAATAAACATAGTGTATTTCGTTAAAACGAATTAATTATTTCGTTAAAACGAATTAATTATTTCGTTAAAACGAAATGTTATTTCGTTTAAACGAAATAAATTATTATTTCATTAAAACGAAATAATTATTTCATTTAAACGAAATAATTATTTCGTTTAAACGAAATAATAAATAAATATGTTTACAATTGCGCCTTAGGGGCTCCGTACCTAGGTGAATTAAACTTTTTAATTCAAATTTAATTTTCACCAAGTAAAGAAAAAGTTTTGAATTCAAAATAAAAAGTGAAAAATTTCGTATATGAGCCAACGTAGTCAGCTGTTTTTTTGAAAAAAAGTGTTAATGGTGAATTATTGTATGTATTTTCAGAAGGAGAATATGGTGATTCTTGTATTACCAGAGAAGACTCTTGTAATGTTGTAAATGGTAGTTGTTATACAAATAACAATATATCAAAATGTTCTTGTAATCTGAATTATTATACAGATAACAACATGTGTAATTCAGGTGAGCATCATTTTAATTATCATTAATAAACGATTTCTACATCTATAATATTTCAACTAAGTGTAAATGATTTCTTTAAGTTTTAAAAAAGGGTATTTATTGTTTAAAGAGATAATGTCGTGTAAGTAATTGGTTTAATGGTGAATGTAGCTTTCTTTCAGAATTAAAATCCAACAACAGGTTCCTCTACCATTCAACCAAAACGTTCCATTCTTATTTAGACTATCCTCACAAAGGTCGTGATCTCGGTTATAATTGCATGAGAAAAATTGTTTCCCCCCTAAAAAAATTCTGACAACCAACCAATTTCATTACTTACTTCATATTCAGGGGCGTTTTTAAGGGAAACTTAGGTAAGGGGGGGGGGGAGCAGGCGCCACAAGCCTTTTTTTTAGAATGATGAAATATTTGAAAGTGGGAGAGTCCAAACCCGGGTCTGCCACTTTTTTTTTTGGCGGCGCCATTTATGCTGCATAAGACAGTTTCTGAGTGAAAATAAGTATTCTCTGTTCTCACTCTTACGATATTGGATCGAATCCCTCAAGCGTCAGAAGACGCAACAATGCAAACTTACAGAAAAGATTTCGCAGGATAGCGGCAAAATGACTGTATGTTATTATTCATTTGTAAATGTAAACTATTTAGAATACAATAATATTCCAAATATGAGCTATCAAGTGATTATTTTATTTCAAATTGAAATAGGGAAAACTTTTCTTTCACACAGAATTTATAAGAAAATCTATACTGTATTATATTTGTTGTATTGTAGTTACCGAACTAAAACCTACAGGTGTTGTAATAGAAGGAACACCAACATCAAGTAGTGTAACTATAAAGTGGACAGTTCCTACAAAAGATGCTATACAGAGTTTTAATATTAAAGGAAATGGACCGAATATTGAAAAAACGCAGTTGAATAAAAATTTTAGGGCAGTGACTATTGCTGGACTAACACCAAATACACAATATACAGATATAAAAGTTGAAACTGTTGTAAAAACTGACAGAAATCCTTCTCTAATTGTAACATCAGATCCACCCTTTATCAATTTTATTACATCTAGTAAGTGATAGTTTTATTTCATTGAATTGTACTATGCAAAAATATTAATTTGTTGTTATTTGTTGAAATTTTTTCGCAGTGTCTTTCTGTCAAATATAAACATGCAAAATCTTATATTTCTATGAAGTTAATTTTTAAACTATCATAACTATTTTGAATCAAGTTTTTCAACTGCACATCAAATTAAAAAAAACATTAAAAAAACTAAAGAAAGAAGACGGTAAGTGTTAATGTAAGTATTTATGAAGTTTCTCCAAAAATTATAAACGGAAAATATATTCTGTAATTAGTGAACTGGACTAAAATGAAATATTTTTGATTTGCAATTAAACGTTTTAGGTTAGCCGTCCGCTTGACCAATCGTAATTTCTCACCGCCGAAATATGAATCTTCAAATCCATGTGTGTCCAGAATTATCCACGTTTGAAAGTGAAGATGGCGACTCGTCTTTTCTTGAGAATCTGCCATATTATATATAGAAAAGTAGGCCTACCTCTGGGGATTATTTACATATACCCAAGACCCAAATCAACCCTCGAAAATGGCGATCCCTTCCATTTAAAATAAAGTCGTCATAGTTAATAACATTTTCTTGTTATACAGAGGCTGGATATAGAGAAACATGTGTTACACCAGGTACTGATCAATGTGATGATACAAATACAGAATGTGTAGATATTGGAGATGGTAATGGTAATAAATGTTACTGTAAAGAAGGTTTCTATACAAACAACAATCAGTGTTTTAATGGTAAGTTATATTATAAATTAGTAACAATGATATTAATATCAAACTAGTTTCTAAACAAACAATAATCAGTGTAATAATGGTAAGTTATATTATAAAATAGTAACAATGATATTACTATCAAACTAGTTTCTATACAAACAATAATCAGTGTTTTAATGGTAAATTGTATTATAAAATAGTAACAATGATATTAATATCAAAACTAGTTTCTATACAAACAATAATCAGTGTTTTAATGGTAAGTCATATTATAAAATAGTAACAATAATATTACTATCAAACTAGTTTCTAAACAAACAACAATCAGTGTAATAATGGTAAGTTATATTATAAAATAGTAACAATGACATTAATATCAAACTAGTTTCTATACAAACAATAATCAGTGTAATAATGGTAAGTTATATTATAAAATAGTAACAATAATATTACTATCAAACTAGTTTCTATACAATCAATAATCAGTGTAATAATGGTAAGTTATATTATAAAATAGTAACAATGATATTACTATCAAACTAGTTTCTATACAAACAATAATCAGTGTAATAATGGTAAGTTATATTATAAAATAGTAACAATAATATTACTATCAAACTAGTTTCTATACAATCAATAATCAGTGTAATAATGGTAAGTTATATTATAAAATAGTAACAATGATATTACTATCAAACTAGTTTCTATACAAACAATAATCAGTGTAATAATGGTAAGTTATATTATAAAATAGTAACAATAATATTACTATCAAACTAGTTTCTATACAAACAATAATCAGTGTAATAATGGTAAGTTATATTATAAAATAGTAACAATAATATTATTATCAAACTAGTTTCTATACAAACAATATTCAGTGTAATAATGGTAAGTTATATTATAAAATAGTAACAATAATATTACTATCAAACTAGTTTCTATACAAACAATAATCAGTGTAATAATGGTAAGTTATATTATAAAATAGTAACAATATTATTACTATCAAACTAGTTTCTATACAAACAATATTCAGTGTAATAATGGTAAGTTATATTATAAAATAGTAACAATAATATTACTATCAAACTAGTTTCTATACAAACAATAATCAGTGTAATAATGGTAAGTTATATTATAAAATAGTAACAATATTATTACTATCAAACTAGTTTCTATACAAACAATATTCAGTGTAATAATGGTAAGTTATATTATAAAATAGTAACAATAATATTACTATCAAACTAGTTTCTATACAAACAATAATCAGTGTAATAATGGTAAGCTATATTATAAAATAGTAACAATGATATTACTATCAAACTAGTTTCTATACAATCAATAATCAGTGTAATAATGTAAGTTATATTATAAAATAGTAACAATAATATTACTATCAAACTAGTTTCTATACAAACAATAATCAGTGTAATGATGGTAAGTTATATCATGAATAGTAAACTAAATGAGGTTGTTGTTTTTCTCAAATCTGGCAATATGTGAAAACAGCTTTTTCTCAAGATCTGAAAGTAACAAGTATTCTGTTCTGCTCTGTTCTAAGATAACATGTCACAATGACAAGGCCTTGAGGATAATGGGTCTGTCAAAATCAAGTTTAACATAAATTATATAGATTTTCTTATGATAAAAAGGAATCTTTCTTTTTTAACCCATGTTATTGTAAAGCTGACGTGGTTTCATGTGATTTCTTCATTGGTGAATGCTACTTGGTCTTTCTTATATTAACCAGAAGAAATAAGATTATAAACTTTGTAAAATTATACCATGTTCATCTTTGTCAAAGTTATTTAAACATGTGCCTCTTCCTTCCGAACTCCTGCATATATTGTATATGTTTAAAATGGGAAAAATTGGCCACATTATGCTTTGAAACACTTCTAATTTCAATCATATTTTTATGATTTGATTTACTAATCTAGCTTTAAGATCAACGTAATATATTGTGGATGTGTAAACTTCGATGACTTTTATTACAGCTGCAGAATTGAAAACCATTATTGCTGGTATAATTCCAAAGACTAACACTGCAACAGTTTCATGGACCCTACCATCAAATAGTCAATTTATATCCAGTATTAGTATAGAAGTAAATGGTATTATAAATAAATCTAGTATAAGTAACACTGCTACATCTAGTGAAATAACTGGTTTACAACCTGGTACTATGTACAGTATTAAAGTTATATCTATAGTTAATACTGATAGAAAACAAAATTATGAAGTTAAATCAAAGAACGTATCAAACACAACAAGTAAGTAGAAGACATCTTAAGTTCAAAATAATACCATTAACATGTAAAATGTCTAATCATTAGTCAAGAAGAAATGAGTAACCAGGGACATATTGTATGGACTAAGAATTGATTTTGATATACATTAGTTAATATAACATTATCATATTGTAAATGCTAAACAGACATGAGAGTTTGAATTTTCCATGTAATTTCAACATTATCTGTTATACCTTTCCATGCGCATGATTTGATAACCATTTCTGTAAAACTAACCTTTGCAATAGACAAGCAAAGCAAGATGACTCTAAATTCCTTGCCTTATAATTATGCTATAAAGATAACTAAAAAGATTTTATCCCAATTATCCTTAATTAGAATGACTACATAAAAGAATCATTATCCATTATGAATCCAATATTGATTCATAAAAATGATGATCATTCAATGATAGTATGCAGACTTTGGTTAGAAAAAAACCCCACAAAAACACAATCCTGAATCACCTGAAAATATCAAAGAAAGAATTTTGTAAAAAAAAAATAATGCCTTAAAAAATTTGTGTAATTTGCTTTTTTGATCAAAAGGGAAACATTCAATTTTTTCTTGCCAAGTACAAACTAAAACCAAAATTTTTGTTGTTTTATTTCGGCATTCATTAATGTTCTCAGGACCAAGGAACTAGGCTTGTTTAACTAGCACAGATGAAAATACGTTCTGAGTTTAAAACTCTACCAATTCTAGGCTTTATTGTCTAACTAACTAAATGTGAGCAGTGACTTGGGGTATGCATAGGGATTGACTGACTAAATGGGGTACTGAATTTGATGTCTTATAGTAATCAATGGCCAACCAATCAAGAGTCACAATTTAAAAAACAGTAAGACTCTTATCACTATTATGTTCAAACACTTTGAGGATCAAGATAGTATAGCCTTTTGGATTCTTCATCCCTTGTCTATCTTTCTGATAAAGCTTCTAGTTGTTCAGATGGGATATATATAATAAATATACATAATCAATACATGTATATGTAATTGTACATTTTATAAATGTATGATTTAAACATACCATATCAAAAAAATAATTTTACTTTGCTTTCAGTCCCTTTTTATTACAAAAATTATTATTTTCATATCATTTCTATTTCTAGATCCTGGTAAACCTGGACCATTAAATTCTGATAATAACTATGATACTACTAAAGTAATGAACATTGGATTTGTTAAACCAACTGGTGGAGTTGATAAATACATTGTACAAATAACAGGACCAGGTCTTAACACTACTTTTACACAAGAACCAACTACTAATAGTATAACACTACCAGCTAATACATTACAACCTGGTAGACAATATAATATCAGTATTATTGCTGTTTATAACGGAAAGAATAGTGCAGAGTTTGTAGGTGTTTTCAACACAAACTCAAGAGGTTAGTATTTATATCATTCCCACTTCCGACACAGATACACATCCCATCTTTTTCATGTACGAAAAAAAAGCTTATGGTATGAATATTCATGTTCCTTTAGCACGGTTGTATATCTATTATGTGAACAATATTGTACCGTTGCTTAAGGAACATCATGGATATCAGGTTTTGCAGATTGTTGGCAACCGGTTAAACGGGCATTCACTGTTTATGATTAAAAAGACATGGAACGACAGTTTCAACACAGATATGCTGGACAGAAATCGCTCTTTATGTCACTTGCGAGATGCATTTGAATTTTTAGAAATGTTTATAAATGTGAAAACCACATAGAGGTACATGGAGTTTGGACAGTGATTGGACTTTTTTTTAACAAACCTTTACATGGGACAGTGAACTGTTTGTTATGTTTTTAATTATACTAACGTTTAATTTAGGGTCTGATCCTGTTAAAGATTTAAATATAACTAACATCAATAGTAGAAGTCTTACTGTATCTTGGTCTTATCCTGATGAAGATATGGGTGTTCTTACTGCTTATATATTAGATGTTAAGATTGGTAGTGAATGTATTCAACAATATATATATGTTACTGATATTAATAATAAGGTTTGTATTAAGATGTATATTATTATTATTCAATATAAGATATTGGTACTGTTACTGATATTGATAATAAGGTTTGTATTAAGATGTATATTATTATTATTCAATATAAGATATTGGTACTGTTACTGATATTAATAATAAGGTTTGTATTTAGATGTTGATTATTATTATTCAATATAAGATATTGGTACTGTTACTGATATTAATAATAAGGTTTGTATTAAGATGTTGATTATTATTATTCAATATAAGATATTGGTACTGTTACTGATATTGATAATAAGGTTTGTATTAAGATGTTGATTATTATTATTCAATATAAGATATTGGTACTGTTACTGATATTAATAATAAGGTTTGTATTAAGATGTTGATTTTTATTATTCAATATAAGATATTGGTAGTGTAACTGTTACTGCTAATATTATTTTACATTACATCCCATTACATCCGCTAGTCTGTTCAAATTTGGCTTGTGCTCTCTCTAGGGGCTACAATTCTTTACAGATTTTATTACATTTATTTTGTAGGTCAGTGTCATTATGAGGTTGATCCGTATCATGATGATCTATTAATTTTTCAACGGAAATATCGTGTTCGACCTAGCGTTTTCACTCATTGTGCAACTCGTGCTCCTTCCGTCCGTTCACACTTGGCTCGTGTTCACTATACAGGCCACAATTCTTGGTAAATTCTTTTGATTTTGATTTTGTGGGTCAATGTCATTTCGACTCTATTAGCTATATAGTACATCTTGTGCACACTCTACAATTGCAATCACAGCTGCTGGGGGCGTATGTCACCTTGCTTCACAAGGCTATCTTTTCCATTTTAGCCAACGACTAATAATTGTGCAGGTGTAACACCAACATATAGTGTAACAGATTTAAAAGCTGGTATTATACAAATAATAATTGATTTGTTACCATATATCAACTACACTCTTATAGTTACACCATATAATAATGTTAGACCAGGATCTGTAGCTTCTAAATCAGAACTAACATATATAGAAGGTATGAATTTTCGGCAGTCATTTCGAAATCGTGTACCATTAATATGTTTCTTTCGTGCAAATGTAGGCCAACATATTTCAGAGTTAACTTTTTCGTTGCTTAACATAAGTGTTTTTTTTAGAGAATGGTGATTTAAATTTCTTTATCCAGCCATTGACTTTCTTTTATTTTTCCATCAATATCGATTTACATCAATTGTTATACACCCATTTATGAATTTGATTTGCGGCTCATAAACAGCCCAGAGGGCACAACCCTTGTCGGGTTGTTTTACAATATATGTGTAATTGAAATATGTTCAATCATTCTTCAATGAACTTGTATAAATTTAGAACTTGTATACAAGAATTTGAACATTCATGACTTTTCTTTATATCATTCCAATTTCGTGTACAAGTAGTGTGGATCATTTAAGCTTCGTAAATATCCTTTGGCTTCTTTTGAGTACCCTCAACAACTCCTCTTACCAATACAATGGTTATATTATATTTATCACATTCTTCGTATTTTGTTACTAATTCAACTAGTTGATCTCTTTGTAGCTGCTGGTGAACCAAGTAATTTGAATGTAATAGAAATCAATGCTAAGAGCTTTCTTGTGACTTGGAATAAACCATCTCTGAAAACAGGACCAACAACATATTATTTGTATTTATATGAACGGAACAATCTGGCAAATAACCAGGCTAGTCAATTAGTCAAAACACATGTTGTACAAGGTTTGTCATGATTTTTAAATTTATGAATATTAAAGATGGGTTTTAACCAATCATAAATGTCCATGTAAGTACCGTCTGGATAAACAAAAAAAAACTTTTTGACCTTTCTTGATCGGTCACTCACCGTAGCTACAGGGAGTCATGAGGTAAAAATTAAAAGAACAATTGTTCTGTCTGTGTTTCTATAACTTATGTAGGTGATACATCTCGTTCGTTAAAGAAGAAAACGAAACGGTCTGTTAACTGAATTTGAGATATTTCGTGTTCAGACAATATAAAAAGGGTTTCATTATAATAAGCTCAATAAAACTTTTTGTTGCAGGTTTTGATACTGAAGAATATCGAGTTAATGATGTAGTAAGCTACTGGTATTATAGAGTGGAATTACAGGCATCTACTGCTGCTGGAAATAGTTCAATTAAAAGTATTCCAGAGTTTCAAACATTACCATCAGGTTTGTTCAATGATTAATATGAAAATGTTATGCAATATGAAAAGAACCAAAAGTTGAGTTTTGCCCTCGGATTTTTTTAGCCAAAGGGAAGGGGGGGGGGGGTGTTTTTCGAGCAACAATCTCATTACTAGGTTAGAAATTCGGGCAACCTCAGATACCTGGCTCCGCCACTGGATATAGATTGAACCATTATAATTGAATTTATTCATATATTTCAGCTCCTGGTAAAGTTAAAAATCTTGCAATAGAAAAGATAAAAGGCCAATACTCAATAGCAAAAGTGAGTTGGTCCTGCCCCAATGACAGAGATCGTAATGGAGTTATAAAGAATTACACTTTGACTTCAACTTTAGAGGTAAACATATAAAATATATATTGTTTTATTTTACATGTTCTTTAACTGCTAAGGGACGGGACATATGCGCCATTGATTCGACTAGTCGTACTTTAGTCTCAGAAACGGGGATGTTTTAGCTAAGCCAATCTGTTATAGTGTTCACAGCTCACCATCGAAATTTTAGTCTTCATTTCCATGTTTGAAAGTTAAAAAGGCGAGTCGTCTTTCCTTGTGACACTGCCATATATAGAAAGAAAATATATTCATAGTTTGAGATATTTTTGAAGGAATTATGCAATTTTTTCGCACATTTCTATTTTCAGTAGAAAAACTGTTTTTAACTATAAATGTTTTTAAACTAATTGCGGAATATGCTTTATCACAGGCCCTTCGCACAAACACTTAGTGTTAATGGAATTGCAGGCACCACAAACGTCTATTGAAATGGTGCAAATTGATGCTATCGGGCTACTAATTTTTTTAGACAACTACTTAACAATCCCTCTTAAGGGTACAATGTGCACTTTAACTTTTAGAATGAAATACCGGAAGTTATTCAACACCAAGAAAGTTGTAAATTTACTAAAACTGTCACAGTAAAGCCTGGCGAGCAGAATCGATTTATAGTTGTGAGTGGTTGTATAATATTTCTTGTTTAAAAGGAAACTATCGGTACCTCTCGATTATAAGACTATATATTCATCAGTTGAACTGACCAGGTGCCATGACTTAAGAATAGAATCTCTATAGAAGGTGATATATCCATTAAACTAAATAATTATGGAAACACGCTGTTAAGAATGTTTCAAAATTACTTAGTTTAATGAATTATCAGTTTTATCGATTTATTGGATTATGGAGGGATTCTGTTGTATAGTTATAGCATCACTGATGAATAAAGACTCATTTTAACCAAGTTAAAAAAAAATTTTTTTTGGGTCATCCCAAGAGGTAGTATACTTTTAATTAGCTTACTGTTATTGCAAAATATATGGACGTGAATACGAATGCATAGAGATTGAGTGACTTTCCTAGAGTTATCCTATCAAAGACCCTTACCAGATTCGTTCTGCTTTAAAAGCGTTTCTGTGTAAGATGCTGCAAACATCCCTATGCCTGTTTCTGAAAGTGATAAAAGGCATTGTAAAATATGGCGGATATTCGTTGAGAAACCTTAATTCTTTTTATCTGTGAGTTAATTTATCTTTTCAGTATGCCACTAATATGGGATTTAAGGGAGAAGAGGCAGCTATAGAATATACAGCACCTACAGAAAGTAGGGTTTTTGTCATTTGATTTTTTTTAATGTATTTGTATTTCATGTACCCCAATATTACAAGTATTTCGAGAAATTTTGGCCCAAAGTATTGTATGGGGTCATTCAAAGATAGCTTGCCAGGCAAAGTAACATACGCCCACTGGCAGCTGTCAGAAATGATTAAACAGTCTTTAGTGACTACAGGGTTGCACAATATAGCTAATAGAGTGAAACGTCAAGTCAGACACGATATTTCGGTGAAATATTATCCGATCATCGCGAAAATCGATAGGGATCATCTTCATAATGACATTGACACACAAAATAAAAATCAAAAGAATCTGTAAAGAATTGTAGCCTGTAGAGTGAGCACGAGTTGCACAATATAGCTAATAGAGTAAAACGTCAGGTCAGACACGATATTTCGATGAAAAATTACCCGATCATCATGAAAATCGATAGATCATCATGAAAATCAATAGGGATCATCTTCATAACGACATAGACATACAAAATAAAAATCAAAAGAATCTGTAAAGAATTGTAGCCTGTAGAGTGAGCACGAGTTGCACAATATAGCTAATAGAGAAAAACGTCAAGTCAGACACGATATTTCGGTGAAAAATTATCCGATCATCACGAAAATCAATAGGGATTATCTCCATAATGACATTGACACACAAAATAAAAATCAAAAGAATCTGTAAAAAATTGTAGCCTGTAGAGTGAGCACGAGTTGCACAATATAGCTAATAGAGAAAAACGTCAAGTCAGACACGATATTTCGGTGAAAAATTATCCGATCATCACGAAAATCGATAGGGATCATCTTCATAATGACATTGACACACAAAATAAAAATCAAAAGAATCTGTAAAAAATTGTAGCCTGTAGAGTGAGCACGAGTTGCACAATATAGCTAATAGAGAAAAACGTCAAGTCAGACATGATATTTCGGTGAAAAATTATCCGATCACCACGAAAATCAATAGGGATCATCTTCATAATGACACACAAAATAAAAATCAAAAGAATCCATAAAGAACTGTAGCCTGTAGAGTGAGCACGAGCCAAATGTGAACGGACGGACCGACGGGGTGATTACCATATACGCCCATCTTACGTCTGGGCGTATAAAAATGTCTAACTACTGTAGTTTGTCCTACATAAAGATAAAGACTGATTGCTGTGTCCAATGAGGAAAACTCAATATTTATTTAGAAGCTTCTGATCAATCCTGTCTGTGAAATAAATTGAATTTTTTTAATGTTATCACAAACACCTGCTTGTTATGAAGTATTTATTAGCATGCCTTATGCCATTAGATTAAATTTGGCGCTGATTTTTCAATTTAAAAAAAAAACTGGTGTCAGTTCCACATATCTTTTTTCATCAGATTCTACAGATGATGGTATTTCTCCAACAGTTCTAGGCATTATTGGTGCCTTAGTAGCTATAATAGCGGCGATGGTCATTGGAATTGCTATTTATTGTTTAATGAAAAGAAGGTACATAATTTTTATACAGTAACTTTTCCAATGAAATTGATTAGACGGTAGAGCCGTAAATATTATGTGTTTGAAGAATATACAGTAAATTACAATTCGTGTATTTGAAGCGCCTATGATTCTTTAAGATCGGACAATACTGTTGCCCCTATTACGTTCAAAAGTCATTTATGGTCTGACATCGGCCCATCAAATTATGTGAATAACACGTAGTGGCTAACCTCTACTTGATGTCCGGCGGGAGCTATTGATTCTCATTCATTTGAGTTGCTCTGTCGGTCATGTATTGAAAATAGAGCCAAATCAGGCCCTCAGTAGAATGTGGGCGTATAAAACCTGGTAGTAGGTTTAGGACCTATAGTATCTGATTATTATATACCGTTATCAAATATAATGAAAATAGATTAAAAATTTGAGATATAATTATTTATTTTGCAGAAGATCGGAAGAAAAGGAAAAGAATGAAAAAACTGTAACCTACAACCGAAGGTCTAATGGAACTCCGAATCCTGAGGCCTCAGCAAATGCCAATCTCCCAAATGGCAACAGTGGCGTTGAAACTGCAGCGTATTACGTGAACGTTCCAGATCAAAGTAACAATGAAGAACAAGGTCCATATGCGTCTTTAGATGATGATTTAACACCTCCTGTTTATGAAACTCTCAAATGATTTTTTTTAACTTTTTATATGTTTATATCATCAACACTGATAGCTTTTAGTTCCACCATTCCTGTACTTCAAGAAAAATGCTCAGAATATGAGATCACTGTCGCAAACACATACAATGGCAAGATATATAACATTTTCTAAACCTTCTAAATCTCTTGAATTTGTGACAGGCCTGTAGCTATAGGGGGTCAACCGAAGAAATGGATTGCCTGCCTAAAAAAATTCTGACAACCATTCCATTCCAACTAAACACCATACATATTGCCACTCTAGACATATTACTTACCCCTCCAAACAATCAAGTCTGGCAACGGGCCTTATTTATGAATTTCTTACAATTAACCCAAACCTATGTGATATTAATTTCTTTCATGCATTGTTGAAACATTTGTGTACAAAAGTAGGCCTATTTAGTATTAGAAAATAGAGGTGAATAAGATTGTATATGGTACCCTAAGATTTGTATACCCTAGCGATTTTAATCAATGTATGTTTCAACCAGTGGCGGCACCAATGGGGGGTACAAAATGGGTGGATGTACCTTCACTTCATTAATTATGTAGTTTTTTTGGGGTAATGAGGCACTGTGTAGTCTGACATAAACTTTTTGGAAAATTACAATTTAAGTCGTTTTATTCAGTTAGGATATATTATTCGACATGAAAAAGGTTACAGGGGGCGGGGTTATGCAATTGATCAAGGATCTTGAAGTGAAAACTTCAATCCTAACAAATCTAAAACATGACCTTTTTACGTCATAGCCCCTCAAAAATATGTGACAGGATGCACCAAATTAATTCGATTTTCAAAATATTTCGAGAGAGAAATGCGACGGTTGTCCTCCCCCTCCTTCAGTGACACCCTAAAAAGTGGAGCTTAAATTATAAAATGTCTTTGGAAGTGGTTTCAACAGCAAAGAGCTTGCCCACCATCAGAGTCAGCAATCCATAGGTATTAAACAATCAAAAAAAAAAGATCAAACTAAGCATTAACAATTATTATTCAAAGGGAAAATATGTTAATTTTTACCTGAACATACAATATATTTCCCAAATAGCTTTGGTTGATCAAAAATGTGCATAGTAAGAAGATTTATTAACAAATTTTACCCTCAATTGATGTAAAGAAAATCCAAATCCACATTCATAAGCATACCAAGTAAAACCTTGCTTAGGTATGTCTTCCACTGACCTAAAAATGCCCTTATACCATAGTTATTTATTATCCATTTTTGTATGAATACGAATAATGAAATTGGTCATGGATATAAAAGTCTACTCACAACTCAGTTGCATGAGAGTAACGTTTTAAAGATGGGTTTCCTTATTTTTATTTATGAAAATGAAAATGCTAATACTTATATGAATAGAAAGTAGAGGTGTTATAATTACTTGGAAAATACCAGTTTGTCTCACATGTCCATATTTAATTCATAATTAGCTTAATTAGAGAGAATTACCAGCAGAATTCCAATGAGTGACTGATCGAGAAAGGTCAAAAAGTCTTTTTTTGTTTATCCTGACTGTACATACATGGACATTTATGATTGGTTAAAACCCAATTATATGCAATAAGAAAATAATGATATGATTAAGAATACATGATATTTCATTAGAAACACCAATTAATCAAATAGTTTGCTTAATTCAAAACTAAAAAATACGGAAACCAATCTTTAAACTCATGTCCACTATTGTTTATTAGCAACCATAGCAAGTTGTGAATGCTATGGTGTAAGGGCCTCTTTAGGATAATTCAAATTCAACATACATACATATTAATTGTATCAAATTACATGATTTATATCATAATAGAATTATAAAGCAAGCATTATAGTTGATAGCCAATCAAAAACATACATATGCGTGGACGAACTCACAATCATTTCAACTCAAAGAAACATAGGCCTATCCTATTTTCTCTTAGAGACTGTCACCCAAATGTCATCTTCAGAATGAGTGACCAGTCCAAAAACGGGTTGAACAACTTGACCTTCTACTAAATGGAACTTAAATCTGCGGAACAGTGATACCAAACAGATTGCGCTTTCTAAGTAGGCAAATTTCCGACCAGGACATACTCGCCTTCCAGCAAATCCAAAAGGTGAAAAAGCCAAATGTGGTCTCTTCTTGATGTTTTCTTCATTGAATCGTTCTGGATCAAAACTGAAAATAAACAGGTGAAAAATTATCAGATCATCACAAAATGCGATAGGGATCATCTTCATAATGACATTGACCTACAAAATAAAAATCAAAAGAATCTGTAAAAAATTGTAGCCTGACCGACGGATCGTCTAAGTGAATACAAAATACGCCCAAAATATATTTGTGGGCGTATCAAAATGAAGTTTGAAGTCAGTTGCCAAAACTCATGAAGGGCCATCCAAACAGTTCAACAGGTATCAAAAGCTTTCAAAACAATTTTACCTTGTTCTTATATTCAGTTATTTTAAACTATGTATGAAAAAAACTCAATATCAATTTATGTTTCACTTACATTTTCGGTTGAGGCCACTGTCTTTCATCTTGTAAGCTAACACCTAATGCATGAATCACTGGAGTCTACAATACCAAATTGATGTTTTGAAGCAGATATTTTCAACAAGAGAAAAGCATGCATATCACTTAACATTATAGCTATTTATAAAGACAAAGATAATACTCCATCAAACTTGTGCTCAATAAGAAAAACACAGAATGAATGACAGAAATATGCTAAATTTAAACGGATGGATGTGCCATTTTGAGGTTTGATTTTAGGCTTGAATATAAGTAAAAATAGTCTTCAGAAGTACTAAAAATGTAAGCAAATCATAATTCCTTTAAAAATACTTCAAACTAGGAATTTTACTCACTATTTCTATATATGTTTTTTCTATATATTACAGAGTATCTTAAATTGATGAGTCGTCATTTTAACATTCGAAAGCAGATAATTCTGGACACACATGGAGTTGAAGGCCGTGAGCTGAGAACACTATTACTGATTAGCTCAGCAAAAATATTCCAGTTTCAGAGACTTTAAGTATGATTGGTCAAACACATTTAAATTATCAAAAATACAAACAGCTTAAAGTCAAAGTATTAATATTTAAAACTATCTCACCTTCTTTGGTATTTTATGGCCACCAAGTTCTGAATCAAAATCTTGGTATCGTGCAGCCCATGGCGCTACAACAGCACACCTCATTGTTTCATCAATTATTTGTTTAGTGTACCTGAAATTAGCCATTTTGATCGCAGATATAGTTTTGGGTCAGTTTGTAGGACAAAGGAACTGTTTTTTGAAGATTGAAACGACAATTTAAAGGAAATAAACTATTAGTTATTCTGCCCTGACTCTGAATAATGCAATAATCATTCAAACTATATGGGCAACATGATATAGGCCTTCTATTATCTCTTGAAGCTACCTCCAATGTGCAATATATAGATACCCAGATGCTAGAGATATTCGTCGGCCAATTTCCTTATCGATATATATCAAGATGATCGATTATATTTATTTATATATTTACGAACTATAGCGGTCAATTGAATAAATGAAGTGAATATGACATCCAGGTCAATGGTATAAATGAATTGATTTTTCATTAATGGCTATTTTTGAGAGGGGGATAATATGTATGATGTACCCCCTAGTCAGAAACTAGGGGAACGAAACTAAGGGTGGACATGAAAGTTTGTGGAAGTGTGGAAGTTTTCTGTGATCAGACTTCTACTGATGTTATAGATACTTGTACTTACTTCAACTGATCATAATTGTCAGCACTAATATCATCATCACCAAGAACATTCTTAATTTCTTTTAGTAATTTCTTTTCAACCTCTTCATGTGTAGCAAGGAAATAGACTGCCCATGTCAACACTGAATAAGGAAAGGTAACAATTCGTAAACGTTGAGAGATGATCAGAACATCAAAACAAACGGAATAAAATATATTTTACCAATTTGAATTTTTAGGCAAATTTTAATTTTAGTCAATCAAAATGAGGTATACAATGTCTGTTATCTATGTATTGATGAGGCCTAGCTATATTTTGTTATGTACTTACAATTGCCAGCAGTATGGAATCCACCAATTAGAAAAGTCAGAATTTCCGAAAAAATTCCATCTTCAGTTTTCATATGTTCAACAATACGATCAATTAATAAATAGTCTTCAGATTTTTTACCATTTTTCTTACGAAAATCTATAATGTTCTGTACAATCTTTCTCATTTCTTTCAATGCTGTTAAAGATATTTAGTCATGTACATACACTTTTACCTAGTGGACCCAACACTATTCGTACCTGTATCACTAATCAAAATTGACTTCTGGTAGGTATACAATCAAATATTAACAAATCAAAGAAAAATAAATCCTCAAAAACTAACGATCCTAAATTGGATTGGAGCAACTCTCATAAAATGTGACCTTTTGAATCTGGCCCTAAACGTGACAATGGCACATCAGCAACAGGTAGGGCCCGATTTCTTGAGAAAGATATATGACTTCAATTCATCAATACTTCAGCATCAAATTTAATAAAATATAATGGTCAAAACTGAATTATTTACATAATTGCAGAGTATGGGATAGGAAAGCAATTGAATAATAATTGACCTCTGCAGACTACATAATAGCAGAGAATATTATTGGTTCATGAATATAGCTTCAGCTAATAAGCTGTACCACGGCTAGATTTTTTCCTCCAAATGTAAAGAGACATTTTTAACTATATTTACCAAGATTAAGAGATATGGCCCTAGGACTACCATCTTCGGGTACAGTGGGATCAGCTATCCTCTTCTCCATTTCCGACCACATCTGAATCAAAATATTAGCAATTTAAGTCAAATATTAAACATGCACAGCCTGTAGCACATAGGGCCTCAGGTTTATTGTCCCAATCACACTTTTTCCATGTCAGCCCCTCAAACTTACAGCACTGGCAATGAAAAAGATTTCTGTGGTCAGAAACTTACATACACAGTATCAAAATGACATTACAAAGCCATAATATTAGAGAATATGGTCAGAAATGTACTAACGGTATCATAATGATCATATATGAACTTAAAATATCAGAAATATCATAATGATCAGATCAGATATGAACTTACAGTATCATAATGATCAGATCAGATCAGAAATGAACTTACAGTATCATAATGATCAGAAATGAACATAAAATATCATAATGATCAGAAATGAACATAAAATATCATAATGATCAGATATGAACTTACAATATCATAATGATCAGAAATGAACATAAAATATCAATATGATCAGAAATGAACTGATGGTATCATAATGGTCAGAAATGAACGGACAGTATCATAATGGTCAGAAATGAAGGTATTATCTCGACCTATGCCGGGATTGAACTCTGGACCTTCAAGTTAGCGAGCAAGCGTCTAACTCACTGAGCCACCACGGCTCCCACATAATGATCAGAAATGAACTTACAATATCATAATGGTCAGAAATGAACTTCCAATATCGTAATGGTCAGAAAAGAACTTACAGTATCATAATGGTCAGAAATGAACTTACAATATCATAATGGTCAGAAAAGAACTTACAGTATCATAATGGTCAGAAATGAACTTACAATATCATAATGATCAGAAATGAACATAAAATATCATAATGATCAGAAATGAACTTACAATATCATAATGACCTCGCATAGCAATAATATCTTTTTCATCATCCATCGCATCACCATATAATGAATTCATAACTGTTTTGAAAGCATAGGCTATCATATACTGGTTTAAAGATAAATGTTCCTCCTTTACTTTATTTTCTAATGTTTTCACCAAATTGTCTGCAACCTGAATACAAATTGTATTAATATTACCAATAAACATAAAAACAGTATAGCACAGAGTGGAACTCTGAGTAACAACATGTTTCAGGTTCTATTGAAATATTTGTATATCTCTCTTCAATTAATGTATTGAGCACTATTTTATCATTAAAATATTTTTTTATTGTTCGATCAGTAAATAGATATATTTGTCAAAATATTTGATTCACCAGTTGGTAAAGCTCAATTCAGTTCAAAGTTGCAATTTTCAAGTGAATCAAACTTGAAAATTGCAACTTTATACTGAATTGAGCTTTTGGAAGCTCACCTCTTGGAATTTTGGAGAATATGAGAATAATTCATGATGACTAAAACTTTTATCATATGTTTGTCTTCTGGCACGACCATCATTACCATTACAATACTGTATACTCCTCTCACCAATAACAGGTTCAAACACTTTAAATAACTCAACTACAAAAGTACCAAACAGTCATAATTTTCAATGATGTCAAAAATCAAATTCATAGCTTTTATCAATTGCTCTCAAAGAATCAAGTTATCAAAATAAAACAAGGCCCTGTCTGCTACAGGCTGTGACTGTTAAAGATCCCTCAAGAGTTGGGAATCAACAAAGAAAAGGCTTATGCTGTCCTGGCCAAAAGGGCCTCACTGCACACTGCATATCAATTGCCCCCTGCATCAAGAAAAGGTAAAATTTGTGATTAAAGTGATAATGCTAGAAACATTGTGCCTTAAAGAATAGATTGAGATATTTTTCTTCGATACCATCAGAACCTGTAGCTGCTTCAAATTTGAGTAAAATCTTAGATAAGTATTCAAAAAGGAGAATTATTTTTTACTTTTTTTTTTCAGGATAGACATATTACCTGGTCTATCAAATACATTCTGGTGCTGTTTAAACAACTCAGGAGAAGCTATACTAATCACTAACTGTCTGCCCATCCAGAAAGAAGCTATGTCACCAAATCTACCATGTAAATCTAGTAAGAACTCATGTAGGCTTCCAGCTCTACCAATATCACTCAAGTTACCATCCCTAAAAAGAGAAAACTTGGTTACAATTTCAACAGATTTTTTCAATTACTACCAAATTTTAGGAAATAGGAATCAAAACTGAAATTCATTAGACAAAACTAAAAATTGAGTTTGACTAATTGCTAATAAATTTTGTTAGTTTAAATTGAACACTGACTTGCAGATGAAGTTTTTATTTACTTTTTTTAAATATTTTCCTTCAAGCTTACAACTAGCATTTTTTTAGAAGCAACATTTTTTACTTACTCTTTGGTAGTTGGGTCCAAACCAGGAACTGATGTTGCTTTTCTGGAGCTCTAAAATAACAAACAGATGTAATTTCACTTAATCTTTAATTTCTTGTATAATTTTATGTCACTGTTAACTGAATCAGATCACAATACTATAAAATTATCGACATATGGATGGACCACCCCTTTACCTGAGTGGAGTGCCTAAATGTAAAAGACTGAATCAAAGAAGGTAGAAGATACAGAAGAAGTGAAGAAGATACAGATACAGACTACTTTGGTATGCAAACAAACAAAATTGTACTGTGGCCTTGGGCCTAGGCTGAGTTGCAAATTTTGGCACAGTTGCTATTTGGCCACTCCCCACTTCAAGTTGTGCAATTGATGATTTTTTTTTTGTGTTATGTTTATCAATCTAGAATATTTCAGCAAAATTTTGGTAAGTATTCTGATTCTCGCTGGTCTTTGGAGGCAAACAATGGATAAGGCCACGATAGATCTTTCCTTGTTAGACTTCGTACTCGACTTGTGACTTGAGCAATGTAACCTGAACTGCAGTACTCTAGAGTAGATCTAGGCCTTGCAGAGAAAATAATGTATTTTTAGATTTTTTTACCGGCATTAGGTAAATGACAGCTCCGACAAGCATCATGAAAAACGTTACAGCAAAAATTGCAAAGTCCAACATGTTTTTTTTTACCAATATTCTTTGCAATAAATAAAATTTGTCTACGTTGTTGTTTTCACTTTATTTACAACCTGCTGTTGGAAAGCCCTCTGACGTCATCGCAGGGATTTCCCTCAAAAGCGCCCTCTTCAAAATATTGATTCACGTGACAAGCAATCACATGACTTACCTGGAAATATTTTTGTTCAGTCAGGTGTGAACATTTTACCAGCCTTAATTATTATATTATCATTAATTATAACGTGTAAACGGAATCACATTAGATGATCTGGTAATTACTATGCTATGTTAATAGTTATTGTCATTTAATCTATGGCATGTCTATAGGCTCTTTTATTGCTCTCATTTTGAGAGTGGGACTGTAGGCGTAGGCTACCCAGAGTAGTCTTACATTTTGCAGATGGACAAGTTGCAAGTCCAAGACCAACTTCCTTGTACTTGCAGGGTACCCTACAAAGGTCACCAAAGTAGGCCCCTGGACAGATATTTGATATTTATTCTTTGTCTCCTGAAACATATTGGCATAGAACCATTCAAAAAAAAAGATGAGAAAATTGGATTAGAAAAAAAATTGTCTTCTCAGACTCAGAGCATGCAGGTCTAGACTTTGTAAAGTAAAGTTTTAAACGCATATTATTTGTTTTGGGAAAGATAGGCCTAAGTAGACAAGGTTTTCAAAGAATTTGCATTAAGTAAAGACATATTCCTCTACATGGGGTCATAATTCAGATTTATCTCAAATTTTCAGTGATTTGTACTGAAATTATTTCCCATAAACTGACATCACTCAGCCTTTTTTTTTTACATTTGAACCATGCATCTAAATTTCGAAGCATGTCACACTTTTGACTTGAAGTTTACCAGGTAGGCCTACTGGTATATCATGTTTTATATATGATGGTATTTATATTCATTTATTTATTTATTTTCTTTAAAAACAGTAGTTAAAAAGAGCAAAAATGGAGAAGAAAGTATTTATAGTACTGTCATGTCTTTTGTTGATCAAATTCACTAATACTCAAGTTGTTCAGATGTCTCAAGATCCATGTAAGTTTTCTACTGACATTACAAAACATATGTACAGATCAGGTTTCAGAAAAAAGATAAGGTTCAGATTAGTGAAATCAGGGAGAAGTCTCTCAAATGATCCATGGTAGGCTTCCGCCTATGAGCTTCCACAAAGCAGCGGCATTTTGAATTTCAACTGCGACAGTTGTCCCCAATTAAGTTGGTCTGCCTCTAATTTGTACTCCGAGTCACGGACTGTTAGTGCCGCCACTGATCGAATGAGAAGCTTAAACAAGACAAGAAACTTTTACTCTTCATCAGCTGCTCATATTCAATCATTCCAGATACAGTTTTAGAAGAAAAGGAGACGGGTCAAAATCAACAAAAACCTACACCTAAATCTTTTAACTTTGCTAGTTATTATGAAAATTATATGGTGCTACAAAGAGCGCCTCATAAAGCCGTTATCTGGGGTTATTCCCCTAATATAGGAGAAAGAATTATAGTAAAAATGAGCGATACAGAAAAGATATATAAAAGTATAGTTAGTTTGGGTCCAGACGGCGTCAATGGTGTTTGGAAAGTGTCCCTAGATCCAGAAAATCGAACTGATGAGTTTACAATAACAGCCATATCCAGTCAAGGTTCAATATCTATTGCATATGTATTATTTGGTGATGTTTGGTTATGTTCTGGACAATCTAATATGCAGTTTACTTTGATACAGGTAATTACAGATACATATAAAGATTAAAGTTGGGAATAATGGAGGTATGATTAGCAGCAATATAATAAAAATGAGCTTACAATTTTTAGTTCTTCGTCAGTCTCCATTTTAATCTAAACAAATTTATACCAAGGTCACATACTGGTGACGTTCACAGCGCGTCATACAGAATCCATGTCTAGTGTTGACTTTAAATTGTAGGTTGCAATTCCACTAAAACTAACGTATTTTATGACATCACTAGACGGGAGCTACCGGAAGTTACTATTGATATCTATGCAGTTCTCCTCCAGTGAATTTTATCCCTACAATTTCAATCGCTCAACATTGGATATCCCTTTAAGTACTTGAATCCAGGTTTGCACTGGGCTATTAACTAAGAATTTTGAAATAATTTCTTATGAATTTTATATTTTTAGGCATTCAATGGAACTGATCTAGCAAATGAAGCATCTAAGTACCCCAATGTCCGAGTGCTTACTGTTTTACAAACACAATCTAACAAACCAGAATATGACTTGATAACAATACAAGAACCTTGGTCTTTACCAAATCAAAGTAAGTTATTTCTAAATATCAATCTTCAAATATTACTGTTAGGAAATTAACGTTAGAAATTCATTATTAAATGAAATTTAATGAATGGAGATTTACATCCTACTTTTCTGCACCATGTGGGCATGAAGAGAGGGAATGTCATGCAGGGTACAATGAGAGAAATTTTGCCAGGACAGCAGCATTAGCCTGCTCTTTTTTGAATTTCCAACTGTCGAGGGGTCTTTAACGTGGACAGCCTGTAGCACATGGGGCCACGGTTTATTGTCCCATCTGAACGACTAAACGTTTTTTCAATGTCAGTCCTTCTTACCTGCATAACCTATGTCAGGATTGAACCATAGACCTTCAGGATAGCAAGCAAGCGTCTAACTGCATTCATCCAATACATCCAGATATACATGAATTATTTGGGTATTGAATCATAAGTATAAGATTTAATATATTACTTTAAAAGATTTTTGACATATTGAAAAGGATGCATTTTGTTTGCAGAACTTGGACCTGTTATCAGATAGTTTATGGCTTTCCATTCACAAGTCCAAATTCTATCAATAATATCACTGCAATTAATGTAATATCTAATTATACTAACTTTTAACTTGCACCTCGTTTTTACATTAATCTTTATTTTTTGACCTAGGCCAGTGCTTTTATGAAACTATGTTCTCATCTGCTTCTGACACCGCAATAACAACAATCAATCTGTGTGCTAAGTTGGATCTGAAAGTTTTTGACAAGCATTCGCTTTGTATTTTGTTAATTGAATTATTATAAAAAAATATTTAAAGTTGGGCCTGTGTTTTGTAGAATCTATTGGGTTTGCTCCGTGGAAGTATTTCTCTGCTGTATGCTGGTTGTATGGTAGAAACTTGTATGATAGTAGACAATATCCTATTGGTATGATTGCTACAGATTGGGGTGGCACTCCAGTAGAAGCTTGGTCATCAAAAGATGCTTTACAAAATTGTGGTCTTAAAGAAGAAGGTAGCTACAAAGTGTAAGTTTTCCTTTACTTTTAGTTTGATGTAAGAATTCAGACTAACAATTTATATATTCAAACTCTTCCTCAAAATAAATGTATGTTGATTTATAAGCTTCGTTTGGCACCAAAATCTAGTTCATCCTTTCAACAGCGATCACAAAAGCTTAAGTGAATGATGTCACACTAGTGACCAGACAAGAATTTTTAAAACTTCTTGAAGCACCAACCTTCATCTCAGTTGTATAATGTGCATACTTCATATTTGATTTATGCAATTAGAGCTTCCCATTGTCAGTGTCAAATATTACAGGGTTTCGATATTGTATTGGGGTAATTGAAAGCTTTTATTTGCACCATTTAACCAGATCCAGAAAAATTCAAAATAGTAACATCATTATCCTGATGAGTTTTTCTTGAATCACAGTAACAGTGATGGAGCCAGTCTTCCAAGACTGGGGGTAGAAATAGGGGACAGACTGATTCAATGAGGGGACAACTTCTGAGGCAGATTTCAAATTTTGGCTACTCTTTGGTGGTGTCATAGTCGCAAGTCTCTCAAAAGAGCGTCTTATAGGCTTCTCTCAAGAAAATTGTAAAAAAAATGAATAGATTTTGTGCATTCTGACACATATTTTGGAGAAAAAAGGTAGACATTTAGATTTGTTGAAAATAAAGTGGGGGTACAACTGGGGCTGCAAACCACTTTTCTACGTGGCAAATGAACCCTCACCCTCACAGTAACTCAGGACCTGAGATGGGTAATTGGAATGATAGATAATGAAGCTACAAGTATTCTTATTAAAATGAAAATCTGTATGTTTTGCTCTGTGTTTTGGTGTATAAATATAGGAATTGTTTATTTAAAGATCTAAAGAATGGACAGATGGAAATGAAGATTTAGCTATGGGTAATAGTGATCTATGGAATGCTATGATACATCCATTTTTAAACATGACCATATATGGTGCTATATGGTATCAAGGTAAGTCCATGTTTTTTTTTTTACTTTGTAATATTCGCTGTCAGAAATAATAAAAAAGCATTTATGTGGAAAGCGCTTTAGGAAGCACTGGTGGTGGCATCAAAATTTGACTTACCATGAGAAGGATTGAATACTATACTTCATTGCTTAGCAGACGACAACAACTCTCTACCAACTGAGTAATTCCGCTGCCACATATATTTATGTTTATAATAAGCAGTACTTTGCCAAGAAAGGGCTTGATTTGCACATCATATACTATCAGTAGTGTATTTAGGGGGCGGGCCATTGGTCCATTACCTCCCCTTGGGGTCTGTTATCTCAAAATTCATCTTAAATCTGTTGCCTTCTGGGGGGCCTCTGAAAGACCCCTGGGTCACACTGTGGAGAGATGCCTCTCATTTTTGACCCCTCCTCAGGCATTTTGTAGATATCCCCTTGTATACAATGAAATGACTTTATTCTTTTTCCTGAAGTTAAAGACTACTGAATGATTTTGGTGTTTTAGGTGAAGCTAATCAAGTAACCAATGTCAATCTGTATAACTGTACATTTCCCTCAATGATTGATGATTGGAGATTGAAATTTTCTTCTAGTGGTAATACAGATCCTGTCTTTCCCTTTGGTTTTGTTCAAGTGAGTTGTTCACCCCAATCTAGTTTAAAATTACATTACAATTTTGTTTCTATATTTGTCTGGTATTTTTCTTCTCCATTGTAATCTAACTAGGTTTTTTTTTTTGCTTGATTTTTAATCAATCTTAGGATATTTTATAGAACCTGTTTCTTGATAACAATGTTGAAAGTGGGATAACAAAATCCAAAGTAGAGCAACGTGATCACAGTCTCTTTAAGTTTTGATTTCCCACAATACATCTTGTTATCAAGAACGGGTCCAACAAGAACACATTGATTGCATACAAATAACATCATTAGAACAGGACTGCCGTAAAAAACTTGAAAAATCTGTCTAGAAAATCAGATTCATCACAATTAACGATGAGGTTCTCAGATAAGAGGATAGCAAATAAAGTTTAGGGCTGGATGGGTTTGACTACATATTGCTTAGTACATATATGGGCTGCAAAAACCATAGATATTGTTTCTTATTTCAGTTGGCAGCAAATAGACCTGATCCAACTGTAACAACAGGTTTTACTGATATAAGATGGCATCAAACAGCAGATTTTGGTTATGTACCTAATAAGAAGATGCCTAAAGTGTTTATGGCCGTTGCCATGGATTTGCCTGATTTTGTTTCGCCCTATGGAAGGTACAATCAAGTCTATCTTTAACAAAAGAGCAACCAAAAGTGGGGAGTTTTCAACTTTCTTCTTTCTCTTACCTCTTTCAGGATTCTTGATCGATTGCATTATCCCCTTTCCCCTATAAATTCTTACCATTTTCTGACTTTGCAGGTTTTCCATGCAAAACTTTACATTTCGAAGAATATAGCCTGACTGAAAAGAACAACTTGTCCAATTTATAACTTGTACACTAGACTCATTACCACACTAAAATTTCAATATTACCCTTTAGAAACCCCTGACTTAAAGTGTAGTCATCTACAGATTTGCTTTCCCTGTTGTTAACAGCTCAATAGCAGTTGTCTGAATGTTTTATCAGAATTAGAATTCAGTGCCTGGTTTTACACCCAAAAATGAAACAGATTATGGATTTTTATTAAGTGCAATGCAGCCAGGAACAATGAAAGCAAATAAGGGTATTCCATCTAGAGGACTTCTGTTACCAAGATAGTGTCTCTGATTTTAGTCAAGACACATTCTAGTTACTTCCATTATAGCATAACATTGTGAAATTATTTTCAGTATACATCCAAGAGATAAGGTTGATGTGGGTAACAGACTGACTTTAAGTGGATTAGCTATAGCTTACAATGATACATCAGTTAAACAATGGTCTGGACCTTTACCAACAACAATTTCTTTATCATCCAAACAAGTACAACTAGAATATGATGTTTCTCTAGAAATTAGGAATGTTGAAGGTGTTGAAGTGAGTTCTTTATATTTTTACAAAATTTACAAAGCATTTTCAGCAATTTTTGCAAAAATTTTCAAATACCAAATATCAAAACCAAAGTATACTTGTCAAATAATCTGAAACATTTGATTCTATTCTATCCTCTGATTGTGACAGTTGTCAGCTGGAGAAGGGTCAGAAAAACCTGGCCCTGTTTTATGGGATTTTATATATTATTCCACCTCCGAAGGTTCTGGTTTTTAACAATATTTCGTATTCTTGAATCCATCAAATCCCCATAAAACTGGGTCAAGTTTTTCTGACCCTACTCCAGCTGACAACTTTCACAATCAGAGGATAGAATAGAATCAAATGTTTTGGACCAGAAGATATTAAAGACAAATTTGATGGATTAATGGATGGATTGGCCTCTAGAACATTCGTCACAATAACCTTTTGACCTTACCTAACCCATCAAATATCTGCCCTATCCTGTGCAGGGATTTTGTGAGAGAGACAAGGAATTTGATAGGTTAAAGCAGAGCTCATCTGGTTAGGTGAAAAGGTTATTGTGACGAATGTTTAAGAGGCCCGTCTTTAGATCCTAACTAAAGAGGATATATTAAAAATAAAAGCTAATAAAAAACAGAACATAAGTTTGATCTTATCTGAAATTGTCTAATTTTAATTTTGTGTAGGCCTATATTACCTTTGAGCTCAAATTTCTACCATCTATATTTCAGCTATGTTGTTCTATTGGTGGAAGTAAATCATGTACAGCAGGTAAATCATGGTGGCTACCTACACCAATAATATCATCAACATCTACTTCTATTACTATATATTCTATCTGTGATGATGATATATTGGGTGTACGATATGCTTGGAGAGAAACACCATGTCAGTTTAAACAGTGTGCTGTTTATAGCAGTGATGCTAAACTACCCGGTCCACCATTTATTTGGTATCGGCCTACCGGTTCTAATAGTAATAAATACCCATTATTATGGGACGAACCTGTTAATATTCATTAATTAATCATTTTTTTTCTGATTTGAAATTTGATGCTCAATAGATGATTGTGGGAAATAGATGTTTATGGGAAAATGAAAATATCAAGTTTTGTTTAAAGTTGTCATCCCAGATAAAAAAAAAAGATTGCAATGCACAAATGGCTCAAACAAGCTATTTTTATAATAATATAAAAATTATAAAATATTATAAAAATATCACTCGTACATTGCAAAAATGCAAGAAAACATCCATAAAATTGCATATTCTGTAACAGTCCACCTCAAACTGCTTCATATGCAACAATATTGCCTTCCCATTGCATGTTTCTAATAAAATTTATGGGCTTGGTGCATTTTACTTTTATTGCATTCATGGAGATGTTACAATGCTTTCCTTAAACATTTTCAATTTTGTGGCGATTATGCATTGTGTTCAGTTATGAATATCACTGACCTATCATGACATAAATCTGAACATTAAGATATATACATGGGATGGCAACTTTAAACTGGTTCACCACTTTAGGTTTGAAATTTTGTTCGGCCTGTTTTTACATGGTACTTACTTATATATGATATATTTTCTTATTTTGTTAGAAATTATTTATATTCTTGTTATATATATAATAGCTCCTAGCACATTTAGTATATTTGTTAATAATTATTGTTAACGATTGCCAAAAAATATCTGTTGGGCCTTTAGGTAAGGTAATTAAAGGATGTGAAGTATCAGATTCTGTTACTGTGTAAATTTCATGTTTCAATGTGTCAAGCTCTGGTCAAAAAGCAGTGGAAAACAGAAATTGAAAGAATCAAAGATTTTGTATGTATATATGGCAATAACATGATGTGTGTAAATGACAACATTCTGTTCCACTGATTTTATGTGATATGTCTAGCCCAATTTTATTAAAATTAATTTGCATTGGGCAATGCCAAAATCTTAAAGGGACAGATGCACCATTTTGGGGTTTGATTTGAGTTTTGAATGTATGGAAATAGTCTTCAGAAGTACAGAAATGTACCAAAATCGCATTATCCCTTAAAAAACATATATATATCTATATTATATGGCAGTGTCTAAAAAAAAAGACAACTTTTAACATTCAAAGATTATTCTGGACACACAATGATATGAAAGCTCAAATTTCGAGGGTGAGCTGTGAACATTATTACTGATTGACTAAGCTTAAAAAAAAGTATGATTGGTGAAAAAAAATGGCGCATCTGTCCCTTTAAAAACAATTTTAAATAATTAGATTGGTACATTCCATTTTGATACTTTTTTAGTGTATAATTGTAAATGATTACAGCTATATTCTTAGATTTATGTTGTTTTAACTAGCTCTTAACTAAGGACAAAAAAGTGCAAGCACAACTTTGTAGCTGATTCATATAAGAGGAATTGTGCTACAAAAAGTTTTGGGGCATAGTAAAGAGCTTAAATAAGGACTTGACTGAAATATGGGGTAAAAGTAGACAAGCTTTTGCTCATTCTGACACATGGAGAATATAGGCATGCTATTTCCACATCTAAGAGTTTTCTGTGTAAAGCAACAAAACCAATTACTAAATGTGATGAATGGTGCTGACTGTAATCAGATCATTCTAGTTGTAAAAGTTCCTGTGGGTGCTTGATTAGTGAGTTCTGCATGTATGGGATTAAGGGAATCAACAGAGATTTCAATAATGTTGGAACAGAGATCAGAATTGGTTCTAAGTGTGCTGAACTAACCTGAAGGTTCAGGGTTCAATCCAGGCATAAGTGGAGATGATACCTTCATATTTATCAACCGTTTAGTCATTTGGATGGGACAAAAAACCATCAGTCGGCAATCGAAAAAAGAGCTGGCTAATGTTGCTGTCCTGACAAAATTTTCTTCATTGTACCCTACATGGTGTTGTCCGACTTCATTAGCCCACATGCTGCAGAAAAGTAGGACGTAAAACTCCATTAATTTCATTTCATTTTGCGTGTGGTGAAAAAAATAGGTGTAGACAAATCTTTGTTCCAATTTATTTTAATATGCCATTAGGCTATAATAAGAAATGTACATCTTCTACATAATTTACAAAATCCAACTTAATGTACAAACAACTTAGGACTAGGATATTTGTCTCCAATTCTAAATATATAACTACATATTTAATCTATTGACAGCAAATGGCAGCAGTGGTGGCTGCAGATATTTGGATTGGGAGGAGCCGGGGGCCAAATTTTTTCAAATCCATTCTAGGGAGGGTTGATGGAAAGTATTTGGGAAATTACATTTTTAAATGTAAAGAACTTCCAAAATTGTAATTTGGGCCTTTGCCCAAACTTTCGTTACTTTTTTTTTTATTAGCTTTTATATTATAACAACTTCAGGCTCCCCTCGTTTGAAGTAACCACTGTGTTGCAGGCTCATACAAAAATTTTGTATAATCTTCCAACTTGAGGCAGGTTTCTACATGTCCAACATTTAAGGATCAGAAGTTTCTTTTGAAGGACAGTTTAAGAAAGACTATCTTCGAATACATAATGTAATAATGGAGCATTTTCAAAAAATAATGAAGGCAAAAAACTATGCAAAGCATTGCATCTACACATGATTAAGTTCCAAATTAAATCAATCTTCAGAGAATATACACTTTGCAAAATCTATTCCTGGGTAATCTTTTTCAAATCTAAAAAAGATACGAGCAAATTAAGTGAATATAATAATGTGTCTGTTGGTAATTCAATATTTAATATATTAACAGATATAGGGACAGATGCTCTATTTATTTACCAATTGTACCTTAGTCAGCTCACCGTCAAAACTTGAGCCTTCAAATTCATGTGTGTCCAGAATTATCCACATTTGATAAGATCTCTTCCTGAGACACTGCCATATATATATAGAAATAGAAAATGAAATTTCTAGTTTGAGATATTTTTGAAGGAATTGGCACACCCTTTCCCTTTAAAAGACATAAAATCTTATATTTTATTTACAGAATACAGTCCTAGACAAATGTACACCAATGGGACTTGGGTGCTACTTTTCCTGCATCTAATCTGCAAAAAATGATATTCATATCCATGTGTAAAAGGAAATAAGGCATGCAAGTTCAAGGCCACAGAAATTCAATTTAGAATTAAAACATGACCTACTTCTTCATAATGCTTTCTCTTTTTTTTTGTCTCTGATCAGACGTCATATTTTCTTCTTGACCAGACAGCAGTCTTTCTAACATACCAGTTTTGGGATCCGAATCATCTGATAACTAAAAAAAAAAAAACAATCTTATTGGATTAACCTGCTTGAAATAACAAGTTAAATAAATTCAACCAATCAATCGGCTTGATTAATTTTACAATTCAACCAATCGATTGTCAATGTCCTGGAATACAGTCAGCTCCAGTAATTTAACAATTCAACCAATCAAATGTCAATGTCCTGGAATACAGTCAGCTCCAATAATTTGACAATTAAACCAGTCAAAATGCCCTGGCAAGCAGTCAGCTCCTATTATTCAACAATTCAACCAATCAAATGTCAATGTCCTGGCAAGCAGTCAGCTCCTATTATTCAACAATTCAACCAATCAAATATCAATGTCCTGGGAAGCAGTCAGCTCCTATTATTCAACAATTCAACCAATCAAATGTCAATGTCCTTGGAAGCAGTCAGCTCCTATTATTCAACAATTCAACCAATCAAATATCAATGCCCTGGCAAGCAGTCAGCTCCTATTATTCAACAATTCAACCAATCAAATGTCAATGTCCTTGGAAGCAGTCAGCTCCTATTATTCAACAATTCAACCAATCAAATATCAATGCCCTGGCAAGCAGTCAGCTCCTATTATTCAACAATTCAACCAATCAAATGTCAATGTCCTGGGAAGCAGTCAGCTCCTATTATTCAACAATTCAACCAATCAAATATCAATGTCCTGGGAAGCAGTCAGCTCCTATTATTCAACAATTCAACCAATCAAATGTCAATGTCCTGGGAAGCAGTCAGCTCCTATTATTCAACAATTCAACCAATCAAATGTCAATGTCCTGGGAAGCAGTCAGCTCCTATTATTCAACAATTCAACCAATCAAATGTCAATGTCCTGGGATACAGTCAGCTCCAATAATTTAACAATTCAACCAATCAAATGTCAATGTCCTGGGATACAGTCAGCTCCAATAATTTAACAATTCAACCAATCAAATGTCAATGTCCTGGGATACAGTCAGCTGACATAATTCAACATTTCAACCAAACCATGCGGATGGTAAAATCGGTTGAAAACTAAGAGAGTACTAGCATATTAAAGATTTTGGGGCAAGGGCAATAACTCTGCTTCTAACGGTCAAAAATAGCTCAAATTCGAACTTGATCTTCGTTTTATGAATATGTATACACATACCAAATTTCATTTGATTCCATCAAACAATCTAGTATTTAGAGCGTTTACAAGCAAATGTTGATGGACCGACGGACGGACAGGGGTTCGACAATATATGTCCACATAGAGAGATGTGGGTGTATAAAAAGTAAGCTAATTTCCTACTTCTGAATCGTCTGTTTGAGTATCAATTTCTGGATCCTTGTTCAATACACGATTCCATTTCATTTTATCAACCTGTAAAATATTGGTCCATCAGAAATAATCTATTGTTATCTGATAAACGAGATACATAAACAATTTGCCAATAGATCTATAACTCTTTTGCACATCCTTAAAGTGACAGGTTCTTCATTTGTTCAACAAAACGTACATTAGTTTCAGAAACTGGGATTTTTTTAGCTAAGTTAATCTGAACAACTGTTTTTTTCTTGAGACTCTGTGGTATATAGGAAAGACATATATAGAAAAAGAAAGTAAAATTTCCAGTTCGAGGTAAATTTGAAAGAATTGAGCGATGTGGGTGTCGTTTTAGAACTTCTGAAAACAATTTGCATATATTGAAGATTCAAATCAACCCCCAAAATTGGTAAACCATGGCTTGATATTTGTCGCCAAATGTTTAATCTCTGCAAGACAGAGCGTCCAATAAGATTCATTTCCTTTCAATTGCATGATCCACACGTAATTATCAACATAGTGGAAAAATGATTTTTATCTCCTCTTGTACAGGCAGCTAGTCGGTGAAACTCTTGACAAGACTCTAGTCAGCGACAAAGATCAGTGACCAAGACTCGCACCTTAAGCATAACGGTTCTTATCAAATTTATTTTAATTTTAAATCATTGATCACCTATCTCTATCCAGATCAGCTGAGTTAATTTAAAACGAGTTCAAACCTTTCCAATAATAATCAATAATTCATTGTCACTTATTGACCATGTTGAATCTTCTATTTTAATATTATTGTATGTTTCTCCATCTATAATAGGAGGATGGCCTTTTAATCCTGCTTTCAGATGCTGTAAATATAATTAGTAGATGTAATTATTAAAGCTATTGTAAATTTTCATATGTATCTTGGACACTGATAACATAAATTTGCACCATTCCAATTTTCAGTCAGACATCTGTGGTTCCTTGCATATACTCAAGAATACATTAGCCCTACATCTAATTGATTGATTGTAATCTGCTGCCATTTTATATCCATACCCTGTTCTTATTCTTCTCTCCTGCCGTAAAAAGGAATAACAAGAAAGGTGATTATTCTCACTGTTATAAACTCAAAATTTATCAAACAAACCGTTTTCTTAAATTCCACTACAACATCTTTACTTTTTATTTTAAAATTAACTTTAAATTTAATACGAATCTAAAATAAACAAATCATGTATAAATTAATTAAGTACTGTGTAGGTCAAAAAACACATGTCAACATTGCAGATATGATTAAGAAAAACAGTCTGCTATTTTATGACCCTTCTCATTGTCCTAAAATGCCATGATGCCATAAACGCCAGAGCATGCACGCTTACTGACTTTTCAATTTAACGCTGTACAATTTTTCGACAGAGTCAAATTATCGGGACAAGCATTCAGCGCACACTTTCTGAAGGAAATAAAGATGTCTAAATATTTCTGGTATAGAAGTTAAGGATTCAACATCATTTCTTTTGATAAAAGTCTAAAATCCTGTAAAATAGCTACCTACATCTAAATCTTCTTTTGTTTCAGTCCATCTATAATTTGGTAAATCAGGTTTTTTCTTAGCCTAGAAATAAAGTTCAATGATAAACAAAATGCTGTGAAATTCATTTTGTGTATTTTCTGTGGGCAACTCCACTGATGCTGTCCATATACATCTTCTCCATAATTAACAAAAATTGTAAAGTTGGGGCAATCTTTAACATATTGTATTCATCATTCTCATACAAAGATATTATTAATGAAGTCCTCATTGGCCACAATTGCACATGAGAACGTGCTGACAATTTTAGTTTTTATTGAATGCAGAAGAACCGAGTATCAGATTTAAATTTGATAAGTAATAGGAGCTCAATATGATGAAACAACCAAATATTTAGACTTCCTGTACCTTCTACATTAATAACTTGAATATAAAAAATATGCAAAGCCTAATTTGGAATATGAAGTTGTGCTTAAAGGGACAGTTGCGCCATTTTAGGGGGCGGGGCTGTGAAATTCATTTTGTGTATTTTCTGTGGGCAACTCCACTGATGCTGTCCATCATCTGAAGAAATTGATCAGCAAAACATGTTTTTGAGATTGTGAACAAATTCAACCAATCAATTTTTTGTTACAATGATTGGCCATGGTATTTTCTTCAATGAAAAAGGACTCATAGCTCAAGTATAGTAACCCACATAAAAAAAAATGAAACAAGCATCAAAATTGGCCAATGTAATTAGATTGTTTCAAATACTAAATTTCAATAAACCCCATTTATTTGTAAATCTACATAAAATTTTATATTTGGTATATGCCAAACCACAATTGTGCTAAAGAAGATGAGATGCTCCATGCAGTGTGCAATGAGGGAAATATTAATGATAATCACTTTTCATTGAATAAGAATATAATCATGAATACAATTCAAAGGTCAAAAGTTATATTGATAGCTAAATTTAGCTTTATCAGCTGGTGTGGGCCTATCAAGACTAATCTATTTATCGTGGGTGACCGCTTGAAACCTTGTATATGCCATATTTGGTCATTTTGACATTTTTGGTACCGTTTGGAAGCTCGAAAAAACGCCGATCTTATGATCAATGTTCCTTTTTCTGGGATGAAAACAAAAAACCTTGTATATTGTACTATTATACGAGTTATTGGTTGAATATGTCAAAGAACTCAAAGTGTTATACGAGGTTCAAATTTTGAAGGAATGAAAACCACGTATAGCGGTAAAAGAAATGGTAAAAAAGATTTTTACATTATCATCTTACCGCCCTATCATCAATTTCCTGTTGTAATTTTTTAGCTTCTTCATCTGTTAATTCTTTCACAGCTACTTCGGCCATACCTCAGTTTTCTGTTTAGCTATTCTTTCTTTTTTTTTCTGTCTTCTTCAGGTCTTTCAGCTTTTAATTTATGTTGTCCAGCTAAAAATTGATACTTTTTACAAATCACCTAACATCATATATAAAATTTCCATCAAAGTTTCAGACATTCAGATCATGTAGGCCTACAGATAAAAATTTGTACAAAGTAAGAGAATTCCGATAATAAAAATCTTGTCCAAAGTATGTATGGCAAAATCTAGAGTAAAAGTTATATAGAAGTAGACTCCTCTAAAGAGTAGCACCATCAGGTGTTTCAAAAAACTTAAGCATACGCTAAGTGCGCAACAACAGCCACTACTAGATAGACTTGTCGTTTGAAATGAATAAAGAAAAAGCTGATTTAGACAAAAATATTTCTCCCATTTAACATATATACATTTGGCTTATATATCAAATACAGTAGCAATACAATTTAAGCTATGGAATCTGGATAGAAACTGGATGAAAGGTATGACTGACAAACTCAAAGAAATAAAAAACAGAACACAATATTATATTATTTTAGGCTACACAAGGTTTCAACAATTTACAATGTCATCAACAGGTGAAATGAAGAAGTATAATACTGGTTAGGCGTTAAATTAAAGCTCCCACAATTCCATAACAGAAACCAAAATAGTGATTTATTTAATTTTCCCTGTGAGTATTCAATAGTAGCTGTGGACTCCCCAATTACTGTTGTACGACATTTTTGAAGGGTAGGATTTTAGCAACCAACAATAATAAAATCTGTAAAAGTTTACGTTACTTACCTAATAAAGTCAACTTGTAATTCTATGTCCACCTTAACCATTGGTTACATACACTACATACCTTAAGAGCACTCATTTTTACTTACGGAAATATTTCCTACTTTTAGTTTTTGTTATCATTGAGTTATTTATAGCTATGGGAAAAACCAAACTGACTATGAATCGTGATGTACCAAAACCAACTTTAAACTAAAGTAAATTTGCTATGTAGGCTACCTCTCACAGTAATCTAATGCCACTTGTGAAGAAAGCATGTTCACAACTCAACCAATCAAACGCTTTGTTCAATAAGATCTTGTGAAGATTTCTCAGAGCCCTGAGAACAGTAACTGCAAACACTTGAGGATTACATTGAGCCATGTTATCATGTTATATGTAGGACAGAATATATTGAGCCAGGGTTCAATTTCAGTGCAGTTTATGAGTCAAAATGACCCCCTTTGCGATCTTGAATTTTTCTGCAAATCTTAATGTATATTTTTCGTGCCAAATCTAGAATTATACAGCAACTTACGGCAGTCTCTATTACCCCAGTTCCCAACCTGGGGTGATTTCACCCCCTAGGGATGTGGGACTCGAATGTCAGGGGTGTGGCCAACTGGTGTAGGAGAACAATTTATTTGGAATTGAGAGAGCACCTCACATCATCACATGCTAGAAATGTAGATGAAACAAATTTTTGGGGCTGAAAAAGGTTGGGAACCATTGCTCTATAACCTTAAAGAACTAAGATCATTTGCAAGATCAGTCTGAAATCTACAACTGCAACATTTGGAATTGCTACCGAATTCTTATGACATGTAAATCAAATTTTAACTTGATTTTAACTAAAATTTGGTGTGATAAATTGTTAATAAAATTTTTCATTCTAAATTGAACCCTGTGGGCTATTAAGCATATAATTCACACTCCTTAGAGCTTTTATAAACAAATTCTACTAATCAATGAAAAATAACTCATTTTGATCCAATTTATTATTATAAAGAAAATAAGAAATATACATCTTCTACATAATTAACAAAAATTGTAAAGTTGGGGCAATCTTTAACATATTGTATTCATCATTCTCATACAAAGATATTATTAATGATGACCTCATTGGCCACAACTGCACATGAGAACGTGCTGACAATTTTAGTTTTTATTGAATGCAGAAGAACCGAGTATCAGATTCAAATTTGATAAGTAATAGGAGCTCAATATGATGAAACAACCAAATATTTAGACTTCCTGTACCTTCTACATTAATAACTTGAATATAAAAAATATGCAAAGCCTAATTTGGAATATGAAGTTGGCATCAAGCTATC